GAGAAGCAGGGCTGGAAGGCACCTCCAGAGTGCATCTCCCCCCCCGCCCCCCCCGTGGTGGGATCAGCCGGTGTAAATCTATAATCTTCCCCCAGCTGCTGTCAGCTCTGACATGGCCACAAAACCGAGCACCCGGACAGCGGGGCCTGCTTCTATACACCTTTGTTAACATATGCTTCAAAGAGCGCCATGCTGACCACCGGGTACAACTCCTTCCTGCCCCCAGACGTGCCCATGGGCCTGAGCCAGGAATCTCCGGGCCTGAGTCCCAGCAGGAGCAGTGGCACAGCCCAGCCCTGTGCAGGGAGCACAGCTGGTGGGTCTCTGCTTCCACTTCTGCAGCCTCCTCTTTGAGTCATCCTCTTGGTCCTCTTTCATTAGACTCCCCCTGGATGTGTTTCAGACCTCATGGCTTTCTTGGAAGAGGCCCACACTGCAGGGACCCTGCCTCTCACAGCCTACTTACATTCTGTTGCAAGAATGAGCTACGGCATCTAAGTGCCCTATGTTTTTCTCTTACCAGTAACTGTCTGTTTCCCCCGCCGTGGCTGTAGAAAATGGGTACAACTCCTTTGTATGCTAAAAGGTTGGTGCGATGAACAGCAGGTCGGGATGAAGGAACATTCCTGCCTGGGCTAAACTGCCACAAGACTCCTGCCTGGGGTCACTTATTGAAGCTGAGAGAAGCCCAGTTTACTATTTTGTGTTCCTCCTACCAGGGCAGCATTCTGCCCTACCTGATATCATTAAAAAGCAGAGTTGGAAGGGACTTCCAGAGGTTGTATAGTTCAACACCCAGGATCCCCCTTATATATGGTCTCACGCTTTTGTCCACTCTTAAGTAATGGCACATTCACCCCTTCACAAGACTATTCTCTCTTATGGTGGGATGATTTCCTTTATACTCAGCTTTAATTTCCGTTTCTTATTCACCTTTAAAATCAGTGAGATGATCTGCATGAGTAATGACTTCCCATGTAACTAAGTGTTCACACAATGACTAATGCAGGCTAAAGACGCAGAATATTGCATGTAAAGTCACGTGTTGAGAAAACTTGTGCATATCAAAATTCTGTCATTGTCATCCTCATTGCAGATGTCTCAGAACAATAGCTTCACTCCTCTAAGTCTCGCATTGTTTTGCCTTTGATTTGTTCTATTTAGGTTATAACCTTCATGGGAAGAAAGGTAGCTCCCTACCTTCCTTATCTTGGAACAGTGTACACAATTAACAATAAGATTACCCCCTTTCCCCTTTTTTCTTTCTGTTCAAAAGTTCACATACCATGACAGCCTAGCTAGGCTAGGCAGACTTCAAAGAAGCCTAGGTCCTAGACTTCTGGAAGAAGCATAGCACCCACCTACCAGTGCAGAGTTGCTATATTGCTGACTACTGGAAATACCTCTCCTAATACAGCCTGTGAAGAAAAATCCTCAGGCCCTGTTGTGTAGGGCCTTTGGCAGGGATGGGCAAAATAGGGATGGATCTGGCCAGTCAATTGATTGTATCCAGCTTGCAGCTGCCCCTGTGGCACTCCACATGGAGCTAAGCCCCACCCAGGGCAGCCCGCACCATGCTCTGGCCTGCACCTGCCCTGCACACCCCCATGGCACTGACCCAGCCCTGGCCAGTTTACGCAGCTTCCCAGCAGAGCTGCTCCTGCCACTGCTGCAGCTGCCTGGGTGCTACTTGGCTCCTCTTCCTCCTGGCCCTGCTGAACCACTCCAGGCAGCAGGTAGCAAAGGGAAGCAGCGACAGGTGGGGGGAAAGCTGCAGCCAGGCAGCGCCTGCCTCAGCACTCCAGCTCCAGTTCCTGGCCACCTTCCACCCACTCTGCCTGCCTGGCACTATAAGAGGCCACGTGGCTGGAAAGCAGCCCCATCAGGAAGCTGTGTGCACTGGCTGGGGCCAGGGCGGGTGTGGGCAGGAGTGTGACATGGGCTGCCCCAGGTGGAAGCAGGCGGGGCTTGGCCCCATGCAGAGTGTCATGGGGGGCAGCTGCAGGCTGGATGGGGATTGGGGGTGGGACTGTGCCTGCACCTGCATCCTCACCACCTCGGGGAGGACCTGCACAGCACCACACTCCCTTCCTCCCCACACCCCTGGCTGGCTCTCAGGACCTTGCACACAGGCAGCATCCTACACACACACATGCACCACCCCTACGCCCCCCACCCCACACACTTCCCCACCTCAAAACTCCCTTACCCTCCCACACACAATATACAAGATTAAGCATATTTTGAGCTATAATGCCATTGCCTCTATATACACTACTCAAAAAAAAATCAGGACAAAAATATTTTAAAATAAAATATATTATAGTAGATGTTTGATTTTTAATATATTTGTTTTATGTATAATTTTATTAAAGTTTTTTCTTCTGAAAGTTTTTATGTGTGTAGCCCTTGACAGCTCACCACAGTTTGTTAAGTGGCCTGCCAGCCAAAATAATTGCCCATCTCTGGTCTAGGGAGCCCCTTAACCCAAGGACAGTTCTCTAATTACTTTCCACAAGGGTGAATGATAGCCCAAATGGGGCAGAGAGTAAGCAAAAGTCTGGTCTTGGGCCATGCAAAACCAGCAGAACTGGTCAGCTGAGCAAAAGAACAAAATATCTCCTCTGTACCTGAGCAACTCTGGGAAATGACAAAATGCCAGTGCTGCTACACATGACCCCCAATGAAGGGCCATGTCTACAATATGGCCCATTATATTTAATATTACAGTAATAGGGACTAAGTTAAAATAGGGTGCCTAAGACCTCTAATACCAAATTATTGTTATGTGTATTACTACAGCACCTATGAGCCCCATGATCATCAAGAGAGCAATTTTCAAAGTAGCTAGGTGATCAGTGCTATTTTTAATTTTAAGTGTCAACTCCACTTTTCCATCACACCAATCAGACCTTTTCCTTTTGTATCCAAGATTTTGGTTCTAGTCAAAAGCCTTTTAGCTTCCCGTAATTCATTTTACTGTCATCCATTTCTTTTGTCAGGCTACATCTTTTTTGTCTTTGGCCTTGTATCTAGTACAAACAAAAGCTATTTTTATATATTCCATTTTAAGTGATCTGTTAAGGGAGTTCAGCCAGATGAAAGAACATTATGAGTCCATTCCAGGCAGATGATTGCTTACTCTGGTTGTGATAAATAAGAGAGCTAATAAATTGCATTTTCTATAATACCTAAATTCCTTCTTCATAAGAAGCTATAGAATCTATATTACTGCATAGAGCTAATCACTCCAGTTCATCTTCTGTCTCTGGGGGCATCACATTAAAGAAAAGCAATAGATTCATAGATTCATAGATTTTAGGGTCGGAAGGGACCTCAATAGATCATCAAGTCCGACCCCCTGCATAGGCAGGAAAGAGT